GAAGGATTGGGCATGCTGGAAAAAAAAAAAAAAAAAAAGCATGTCCTATTTTTGCAGAGAGAAGGGGACTGGATGAAACAAATCCCTAAATGGAGAACGGGGGTTGGGAATACAGTCTAGTTCTTTCCCTGCTCCCATGCCACTGACATCAGAACAACAGCTCCAGGGGCTGAGTATTCGTGTGCCACACACCATGCCAAACTCTGTCAGGTGCTACCTCATTTAACCCTGCAAAAACCCCCACGGGAGAGGGGACTATTTATCATCTCCACACTATTGAGATGTAAACTGAGGCTTAAAGAGGTATGGAAATTGTCACAAAGTTGCATAGCAGGCCAATGTAGGTCAAGGATGTGAACCCAAGCCCCCAGGCCCAGAGCTGATGCTCTTAACCACCACCCTGCCCTCCATACCTACCTGAAAATAACCTCTTGCCAGAAGACTAGGAACTACCATCCAGGAAATGTCACAACAGGTCAAAGTTAAGAGAAAAGGACAAGCCTGTCCTCTACAGGGTGTGGTGGGGAAGGTCAACTCTACCAAGAAGCAGAAAAAAGTCTGCCTGCCTCCAGAAGAAAGCTGACTCTCTCCCCTTCATGATGTTCTTGATCCCAACGAATGCAAAACACTTCCAAGATGCTTGAGGCACAGTGCACAGCAACTATCAATCGTGATGCTCCCAACCTGCAGACCTATCAGTGTGCTGGATGGGAAAATATTGAACTGCACACCCTTAAGGGTAGGGAGAAACCAAAGCTTCATCTCATGATGTTGAGAAAAGCAAGAGAATCCTGTTGCCTGGGCAGGACCGCCCATAAATCCTAGAACCACCAGCACAGAACTCCCCTCTGTCATTACTCAGATCCCATGGCCAGCATGTTCCTTCCACACCAAAACCTGATTATAAAGAAAGGTCAGCAGAAACAGAGCACAAATTCCAACTTGCAAAGGTACAATGGGTTCTCCCCCACCTCCCCACTCTTCTTTTGCCACCCACTTACGCCCTCCTCTTCCCCCATGCCGCCACATGGAAGGGTTTTCACCTTGCTCTGTAACCAGCCTTCATCATGACCCCGACTCTGTGCTCAGAACTAGAAAGACAGCCTTCTTAATTCTCAGCTGAATATGGGTCTAACAGTGGTAGGACACCCCCAAGCTATTCAAAGAAAAGCCACCAGAGGAAACGATTTCAAATCTGGCTTTACAAGCATGTGATTTAAAAATAACTCTGCCTTTGTCTGCTACAGATGACTTTCCCTAAAGGGACTGCTGTCCTTAAAGCAATCGCTCAATTCTCTGGGCAAACAGATTCTTATTTTTTCCAGTACCCAGTGCATACCTCCAGAAGAACACTCCCGGGTACCATCTCTGATAGCATCTGTAAGGCAAACATCAAAGTGGTCAGGATGACTCCTGCCATCTCTGCTGACCTGAGGCCATCCAAAACGTTGCACCTTGGATGACAGAGAAGACGGTGCAGGTGGCTACAGCATCCAGCAAGCACCACTCTTCCTGAATCAAGGTGTCAGCCCAGAAAGCTTAGCCATCACCCAATAGCCAGCCACAAGGGTTTCAACAGATCCCTGGGTTCTTCAAATAAAACTGTATTTTTTCAGATATTTGACTTATTCTTTGATCAGACAGAGGAATAAGGATGGGTGCACAAACAGGAAAGGGGCTTGGGGGGCAGTCACAGTAAGCAGTAAGAGAATTCATAAGAATGCTCAACTGGCCATTCCAAGACACATTTGGGGCAGACCCAGAAATACATTCGTCGTCGACTTATGGCTTAATTTCCTTTCAACCAGACAGGTAGCACTAATGGCACAATGCTACTTAGCATAATTCAAAAGATGCATGCTGAGCAAATACAGAAAACAAATGTTTAATGAAATTGCTTTGCAATTATCTCCTGATTTGCCGGACGTCATAGTTTTATCAACTAACAGCATAGAACTGTGCTCTTATTAACATTATATTTCTTCTTGGCAACCTAATGTCGCCTGACCTTCTCAAAAGTTTTGCCAGAAAACATTACAGGAGGCAAAAAGCATCCACGCACGCATGGCAAGATCCTGAGTTATGCCTAGATTTTGCTGTCCAAATTGAAAGTCTACATCATTAGTTCTCAACAAGGGTGATTTTGCCCCCAGGGGTCATCTGGCAGTGACTGGAGACATTTTTACTTTTCACAGGGTAGGGGCAGGGAGGGCATGACTGGCATCTAAGGGCTAGGAGCCAGGGATGCTGCTGAACATCTTACAACACATAGGACAGTGGCCCACAGCAAAGACTTACGTGAGACCTCAACAGTGCCAAGGTTGAGTAATCTTGACCTAGACTGAAATGATACAGTTCCCAGAATGCTCAAGGCCACACATGTGCTCTTCCCTTCTGAGGACTTCTTTTCCTCAAGATTAACTTGGCATTTCTATTCTGGCCACCACTGTGATTACACAGAACGATCAAGAACTTTCTTCCTTTTTAGTTTTGTTTGGGACATACCATCCATCAAGTCCATATCCCTTAGATTTTTATTTTGCATTATAATCTTTATAATGACCAACACTGCACGAGTTGTTATGGCAGAGTGTTATTGTCTTGGTACTTGGTATTTAAAGAAGACCTTTAAACTTTTTTTCCCCCTTCTTGTTAAGAGTATTATTGAGTTTTCAATTCAAAGAAGAAGATTATTTTGAAGTACGTTTCCATTACCAAAAAAAAAAAAAGACATTTACATAAAGAGCTTATTTCTAGATTCTGGTGCCCCCCTTTGATCCTAGTGCCTTTCAAGCCTAGTGCTGTGACCAAACAAAACTTTCTGCTGAAAATCAGGAGTCTTTTATTATGGATTGGGGGACCCAAGTTTTTGAGAGTTATTAATACTGATTCTAGCAAGTTCTGACAAATGGCTTCTAAGGAAGCCTTCAAATCTCAAACCCTGATTCTGAACTCTCAGTAGGAACCAAGATGTGAGCATACAATATTCACATGCCTTTGGGGGAAAAATACAGTATTTCAAACATGGCACGCACATTTGCCAGGGGATAGAGAAATACCTGTCAATTGAGTATAAGAGTTAAGGATGGAACACACAAATCCAATAAATATTGGCCAAAATCTCTTGATATTTCTCTCCAGAAGTGGGAAGGGTTAAATATTCTTCCTAAGTATTTTAGGAACATATTTCAGAAGACAATTAAAATCAATGATAAAAGTTGACACAGATACAACAATGACAACTGTTCTCATTAAAAGAACATCTACTGCTAGTCCTTTGACCCTTTATACGTATTACGTATAATTTTCACAATAACCCAATCCCATAAAAATTATACCCTTCTTTACAAAGGTAAACTGAGGCTCTGAGAGGTTACATCACTTTCTAAAGCACAAAGTGGTTAAGTCTCTTTGTAGTGACTGAGATACCAGGTACCTTCTCACTGGGGCTCCAGCCCCTTCTCCTTGGTTTATTTTTTTTATTTTTTATTTTTTGTAATAATAAATTTATTTTTTATTGGTGTTCAATTTGCCAACATACAGAATAACACCCAGTGCTCATCCTGTCAAGTGCCCCCCTCAGTGCCCGCCACCCAGTCACCCCCACCCCCCACCCTCCTCCCCTTCCACCACCCCTAGTTTGTTTCCCAGAGTTTTTCTCCTTGGTTTAAATGGTTATTTCACTGATTATCTGTACCTAGGAAGACACAAAACCACGGCCTGTCCAAGGAATAAGAGCTTGGGGTCACATCAAGCAATTTGTTGCCCAGCTTCTGTGGCAGCCTCCTGGGATGGTCAGAGGTTGACTTAATTCCATCCCAGCCAGTGGCCTTGAGTTATCATTCAAAGTAGGTTTCAAAGATGGGGGGGTGGGGAGTCCAGCACAGAAAGACTTTAACTCCAGGACTAATATTTCAAGGCAGGGGTGTTCTCTTCCTCCTTTGAATCATTTCCTTCCATTTTAATCTCACTCTGCATGTCATAGAAATTCTATGTGAGGCAAGGACACGGAGTTCAGTAATCATCTCGAGTACAAGTCCCCCATTGTCCTGCTTTCTGCCTTCCCCTGCAGCAAAGGCCCTTAGCTCGGTGACCTTCCTGACAATTTATCCGGCTGAATCTTTGTTCCTGGTCACCTGTACACGTGAAATGCTTTCTTCCCGTTCATTTTGCACTTCGCAGCATTAACGGCATGAAGCCAGAGCTGAGCCACCTCAACCAGTGTTTATAGCTGAGCACTGAGCAGTGGGTTTGGAAGTACTGGACATTTCAGGTGATGTTTCTAATGTAATATTTCACCACCACTTACAGTCAACCTTACAGGCTTTGACAGACATGGAAATGAAAAAAAAAAAAAGTAAGAACAATTTGGTTTATAGGAATAATGGGGTTCTGGCCCCAAAGAAGGCTAAACCACACTAAACCATAAGAGGTGCTTTTAGATTCAATTCCTCAATCAATGCAATCGCAAGAGGAAAAGGATGAAAAAGGGATCGGCCCCACACTCCCTTCAGGTGAGAGAAAAATGAATGTAGGTGAGCCACAGCCTTGGAGAGGGTCTACTCGCATCATTCAGCAAGATCCTAGATCTATGTATTTGGGGAAGGAGGGCAAGGGGCAATAGAGGAGGTGGGTGCCTACAGTATCCAAACCATTCACTGTAGGCCAGGGTTTCTTAAACTGCAGTCCTCGGATCAGGTGCATCAGTAGTCCCCGGGGTTTAAAATGCATATTCCTGGGCCCTCACCCCAGACCTAAAAAATCAGAATTTTGAGAGGTAGGTCCATAGAATCTGCATGTAGCTGACTCTCCTGAACATACAGATAATCACTGATGTGGGACAACCAGGGCTGTGAGTGAAACACAAGATTCCTCTTTCAGAACTGGCCAGTCTCCTAGACTGTGAAGATATCCATGCCTTCTCCCCACCCCTTGCCCCCATCCCGTCCATCCCTTTCACCCTTTTCTCCATCTGAAGGGAGAATCTTTTTAGAATTTACCTGGTCTGATGGGGCTCTGCATACAGTTCGGGGACGGGATGCCAGGGTGAATGGGTGCAGAGGCCCGACTGCTGAGGTCCATGACTGAGGGGGCCGAGGAGGAAGCTGGCTGCAGCCCAGGAGGGTGAGGACTGTGGTCATGCTGGGATGGGCTGGGGGGAATGCCATTTTCTGACAAAAACTCCTCCAGGTCCATGTATTCCAACTGGAAAGTATCTCCGTCATAGGGAAGGGTTTTGTCCCATAAGGTGGGTCCCAGGAACGCCGACTGGGGGACCGTCGGGCTATTACCGTCATCATCCAGCTTCTTTTCCTTGTCTTTATCTTTACTAAATGCTGCAGAAAACGGGGAAAGTTGGACTTTAAAAAAGAAAAAAAAAAGTGTCGTTTCTTTAATCGCCCCTCCTAGCCTCCACTACAAAACCCTACGTTCAAAATGTTCTCACAAACACCAGGGTTTCTTCTCTGGCTGCTGGCTTTTGTGGATCTAGAGTTAAAAGTTCAGACAGGACATGGATCTCTGCCTGTTTTTCAACATCTTCCTATTTACTTTGGAAAGAAAGCATTAGTCCTTGGGACGGGGCTACAAGCTGATCTAGGATATAAACAAGGGAATGCATTTTGAAGAACGTGATTTGAGGAGACAAATAATTTAGATCTACGGTGAGAAAATCACACTTGCAGTTACATACAATTGCTGTGATTTTTAAGAAAACAGCCAATAACCAGGCATGATTTCTCTTCCAGGAAATTCATTACAGTAACAATATGAGGTCATTCAGACTTAGCCAGTGAGCTGGGGATTCTAATTTTGGTAAAGTAGGGACTCTCCACCCTCCTTTGAAACCATGCATTGAGGGGTGCCTGGGTTGCTCAGTCGGGTAAGCATCTGCCTTCAGCCTTCAGCTTGGGTCATGATCCCGGGGTCCAGGGATCCAGCCCCACATCAGGCTCCCTGTTCAGCAAGGAGGGAGGGGCAAGAGGGCTTTTCCCTCTGCCCCTCATCTCACTCATGCTTGCTCTTTCTCTCTCTCTTGCTCTCTCCCCCTCTCTCAAAAAAGAAAATCTTTTTTTTAAAAGGCAAGAAACCATGCATTGAGCACCTATTATATACCTGACTCTTTCCACATATAATCTCCAAAAATCTCACAATAAATCTGCAAATAGCTATTATTCCCATCTAAAATGAAAACATAGAGGCTCTAAGACTTGAAGGAACTCGACCAATGCCTCACACTGGCAGAGGAAAAAAACTGAGAACTTCCTCAGCCCACATATGTTTGTTTAGAAAGCCACTGGGGCACCCTGTATTTTACAAAAGGAGGTTTTCTTTTTTATGTGTTTTTTTCCCCCTCCTCTTCTCCAAAGGCTTAAGTGTGTGATCCAATTCACAAAAATTATACATGTATGCAATCTCAAAAGCACAGCTATTGGAAAGGTGATTCCATACCTAATGATGGAGGCATGCAGCTATGTCCTACCTGGAAGTACCGCTCACCCCTGGACGTCTTTAAACACTGCTCTGGATTTTGCCCATTCTAGTACTCAGGCGCGGGTGGAATCTGGGATTAGGGAATCTGGCTTCTGAGTTTCTTCCTCAGAGAAACACAGCCTCCGCTGCCATCCATTCTAATCCTCTAGTCTCATCTCCTGAGAATTTGACTCGAAACACCCACAGATGCAAAAGACTGCAGGCAGCACCTTCCTCCCAAGTGCTACTCCTTAAAGGAGAGTTAAGAGGGAAGCTCAGCTTTGCAGAAGGCGAACCAAACCCCTCAACTTTTGCAATGCAACAGGTTGTCCGTCCCCCCCCCCCAGGAGAGAAGATGCGTACTCCCAAGCTATTTGTAACCAAATGATCTTTCAAAGACTTTTACACTCTAAGCCGCAAGGTTCGCATTTGCTCCTGTGACATCGAAGGCATGAAACCGCATCAGCCCAAATGGCGAGTCCCAGGCGGCACCAGCTCGGTCCCGCGCCTCCTCGCCCGACCCCTCCTCTCCCGCTCCAGCCAAGGTTGCCTGGGGGAGGTTTGGGACTTACCAAGAAAAGGCTCAAGCCAGAGGAGGCTCCTGCGCGGTTACACGTGAGCCTGCTCCGCTCTCCCCTCCCACCAGGAAAAGTGCACGGGAAAGTGTCAGAGCTGGAGGTGCGCACGGCCTCGCGCCCAGAGACCACTCCCCCCGCCCCCCGCGCCCCGCCAGCCCCCAGCCCCCACCCCGCTCTCTGAATTCCCCCGAGCAGGCGAGCACCTCGCGAGCTCCGGATGCCAAGCGACAGCCACAGTAGCGGGATCCCGATGCCCAGGCTACGCGGCAAGACGCGCCCCCCGCCCCCGCCCGCGCGCCCCGCGCGCCCCGCCAGCAACGGGACCAGGCCCTCGGGTTTGCCCTCCCAGCCCGCCGAGCTCTGCCCTCGCCAGGCGGCTTCACTCTGCGTGCGGGAAAGCCTCAAGCCAGGGAACACGGACCTGTCAAGCTAGGACTCCCACCTGCGCCGCCGGACCGGGACCCGGGAGCCTGGGTCGGTCCCGGAGCTATTTTAAACGCTGCTCGGGGAGGGGATTTCCGCGCCCCCCCCCACTCACTCATCGTTTGGTAGGAGGGGGGGGTGATGGGTGAGCTCTTCGAATTTCAACAAAGCAGGGGTAGGGTGCCAGGGGACAGGGAGGGAGAGGATGGATGCTCCAGCGGGGCTGCCCAGCCGGGGAAGGGGACCCCGGGAGCGCCGTTCCTTCCCAGAGCGGGGCACCAGCAAGGCAGCGCTCACCGTCTTCGTGATGAAGGGGGAGCTTCAGCGGGTTCTCCAACAAGGACCTGAGCACGCCGTAGGGAGGCGGAATAAAGGTGGGGTTCAGGGGGAGCGGTCGGGACATTTTCTCCATCGCGATGCACTCAAGATTTTTTTCTTTAAAAAAAAAAAAAAAGAACAAGAAAACCCAACCGCCCCCCCACCCCAAAATGTTGCTGAGCTTTTTTTTTTTTTTTCCCCTCCGTCCTTTGCCAAAAGTACTCGCTTTCAAGGCGGTGGAGACAAGAAAAAAAAAATACTTCTGTCTATATTATAAATACATCTGCATCAGAAAATAAAAACAAAAAACTTTCGGGTTCCCGGCGCTGACGGTCCCCCGAGAGCGCGCCAAGTGCCCGGGGGCTCCTCGGCGACTGGCAGGATGCTCTCACCTGCCTCGAACCCCTCGTCCTGCAAAATGTTCAAAATCGCGAAAAAGGAAGAGAGAAAAGAAAAATATGCAGATGGCTGCAGAAGGGCGGAAGGCACCGCGCCGGCCCGGCCCCCACGCGCCAGCACCCGAGGCTGGGCGCCGTCCCACCCCACCCCCCTCCCCGCGCCCGCAGCCGCTGCTCCCCCGCGCTCCGCGGCCCCGCAGCGCCGGGCTCAGCGCATCCGGCCGCCCATGTGCCGCGGCCCTGACAAGAGTGACGTCAGGGCCCGCACCGCGCGCCGATAGGCGTGCAGGGGCGGGGCTACGCGCGGCCACGCCCACCCGCCCCGCCCGCCCCGCCGCCACGTGTTTAGCGTCGTCGCGCGCGCGGATTTTCCAGGACCCTGCAGAGCTGGCCCGCCGAAAAGAGACAGGTGCCAGATCTCCTGGGTCACCGACCTGGCCAGGGAACCCCACTTTTTCAGGGTAGGAAGAGGAATGAGGAATTTTTATCAGTGGTTTTCAACATGGAAATAATCTGAGGAGTTAAAAAAACAACAACAACAACAAAAACATAAGCCCAGATGCTCAGGCCGCATCCCAGATCAATTAAATCAGACCTCTGGGCTGACATCCAGGCATCATTAGTCTTTAAAGATCCCCGGGGTGGTTACAATGAGCAGCAGGTTTGAGAATGACTGATTTAGATCGAATGCAAGATAAATACTCTTCTAAATATTTCTCCTGGCCACAGCCAAGCTTGGCACCCTCTCACTCTTGCCCCGTCCCCAAAACTATTGAAAAATAACTACTTGCTAGAAGTTCTCCTTTTTTATTTTTATTTTTTTAAGATTTTTTATTTATTCATGAGACACACACAGAGAAAAAGAGAGGCAGAGATACAGGCAGGGGGAGAAGCAGGCTCCATGCAGGGAGCCCAATGTGGGACTTAATCCCGGGTCTCCAGGATCAGGCCCTGGGCTGAAGGCAAGCGCTAAACCGCTGAGCCACCCAGGGATCCCTAAATGCCAGAACTTCTAATGAGATACAAAAGTAAAGTGAAAAGGGGAATGAAAGAGGGAGTGCTGTCAATGGTTTCCCACGTTGTCAGGAGGGCATTGCCTGGGGTAGAGGGCAGAGGACAGACACACACCCACACTAAACAGGGTTTCAGAAATACTTGCTGTAGGAGAGTACAGATGACTGTGCCCTGCTTGACGTTCAAGATCTGCAGAATATTAAAATAATTTTGTAGGGTCTAGGTCTTCACTGCCATAGCAGCGGCTTTAGCATCTGGTCCTGTGGGTTCCAGCCCTCAGAGCTCAGGGTCGCTGGAGCACTGCACAGCTCTGGTGTGTGGAGCCCTCTCCCTGTGTGGGGCAGACGCTGGCATCAGGCCTGAAGAGCTCCAGGCAGGCAGGCAGGCAGGCAGGCAGGCAGGGTCTTCTCTCTCCCCACATCTCCTCGCTAAGATCAGGGTAGCATGATCTGGGCCAGAGTCTGCAAGAAGTAATAGACACAAATTAAAGACAATGTTCTTTCAATGAGACACAAAGACCTTCGTAAAGGCTGTCTGAGGTGGGATATGGTAGAGTCTTGATGGGTTCCACTTCCCTGAAGGCCCCAGGAGGGAGGTGTAAGAGAGAAGGCCCCTGGAAGCCAGAAGACCAGGAGGGCCACAAATGAGCACAGACTGCCCCAGGCAGGGTGACTTCTAGCGAATCCCTTCCCCTCTGAGCAGGGCTGTGATCAAGTGACCTCTACAGTTCTCTTCACTCTAAAACTATAATGAAAAAGTAACATTCTAAGATAGTGTGATGATGTTTCAAATTTTAGCCAAATTCTGAAAACATCAGACTTTCAGCTAATGCCACCTACTTTTGTGGAAGACCAATTGTATGCCAAGAACTATGCTGGAACTGGGGAGAAAAAGATATATAAGACATAATTCTAATGTAATAGGTTATGGCCTGACATATGCAAACGTTACAATGTAGTCTTAAAAGAGCAAAAATGCATAGATGAAGGTGACAAAGGTACTTGTATGAGGAGAGGGATTCCAGATAAGTTGTCCGAGCTGGCACAGAGCTAAAGGTCTTTCATCAATTTCCCAAATCCCTCCATTCTATTATACTATTTCTCACAAAACAAAAGACTCTTCCACCATCCTTTCAGAGTGGAAGAGGCTACTTCCCTGCCTTCATTCCCCTACCTACGTGTGAACCCACCAACTAGGAGAGCCGAGAGCAACCTCTCAGATTGGTTAGAAACGGATTATAGATTCCAGGTGCACAAAAGGATAACAGTCCACTAGCATTTCCTGGCACCTCCAAAATGCTTCACCTGCTCTTGGTTCCCTGCACGTCCTCACTTTCCCACAAAACCCCTATCAATTCAAGTAATTTGGTTTCCCAGAGTGATCTTTTTCTTACCACTGGAGAGAGCCTAATACTGTGGCTTGAATTACATTTCCCATTGCAAATGGATACATTGACATCCTGGTTGATCAACCAGTCTTTTGGGAATTTGATTCATATAATTCAGGTCCTCTGATCAACTCTAGACATGGGCTGCATTGAGGACCAGCCTCGGAGACCAAGATGTTAAAGATACACAATATTTGCCCATGCAGAAATCAAAGGGATGGGAATAGGAAAAAAGAAACTCCAGAAGAGAATGGCATGGGGAAAGAAATGAAGAAAGAAAATTGGCAGACACAATTTGAGAACATGTTTTCATTCCTTTTGGATAAACAAAAAGGAGTGGAATTGGTATAACATGGGGTGGAGATATGTCTGACTTTATAGGAAACTGCCAGGGCACTTGGGAGGCTCAGTCAGTCAGGCATCTGCCTTCGGCTCGGGTCATGATCCTGGGGTCCTGGGATGGAGCCCCACATCATCATCATCGGGCTCCCTGCTCCATGCAGAATCTGCTTCTCCTTCTCCCTCTGCCTGCCACTCCCCCTGCTTGTGAGACCTGTCTTTATCAAATAAATAAAATCTTAAAAAAAAAAAAAGAAACAAAACTGCCAAACAGTTTTGTTTTCTGTATTAGGTGAATTCTCCTGCATTGCCAGCAGCAATTGAGAGTTCTGGTTGCTCTGGATTCTCACCAACATCTGGTGGTGTCAGTTTCTTAAAATTTTAGTCATGTTGAGTGGGTAGATAGCAATGTCTTGCTGTGCTTTTAGGTTGAATTTCCCTGATGACAAATTATGTTAACCACTTTTTCATGTGTTCATTATTCATTATATATCTCCCTTTGCAAAGTATCTATTCAAGCTCCTGGACCATTTTAAAATTGGGTTTTCTTGCTTTTATTGAATTTAGGAGTTCTTTATATATTTTGGATACAAGTTCCCTTGCCAGGTATATGTGCTGTGAAGATTTTCTTCCTGTCTGTGGCTTGCCCATTAATGTTTTAACATTGTCTTTCCATGAGCAGAGGTTTTTGATTTTGATGGAGTTCAATTTACCAATTTATTTTTTATGATTATTATTTCTGTGAACTAAGAAACCTTTGACCACCTGGAGTCCTGGAGATACTTTCTTCTAAAACTCTTACAGTTTTTCTATTTAGATCTATGAACTCTCTCAAATGAATTTTGTATATAGTATTGAGGTAGGGGTTGAAGTTTTGTTCTGTTTTTTTTTTTCTTTTGTTTTGTAGGGACTTCCAATTGTTCTAATAGCAATTACTGAAAAAGATGTTCATTTCCCCCTTGAGTTGATTTGGTGGGTTTATATGACTGTATATTTGTGGGTGGTCAAAACCTTTGACCTCAAGGGACAAAATATTCAAGGATAGAATAATGTTATTTTTAAGTTTCCTAAGCTCTGATTGTTATCAAGCAACAGAACAAAGTTCATCAAAGTTCATTGCTAAAATAAATGGCTTGCTTTCAATGGCTCATTTGGTTTGTCACAAGACCTTCTACAAAGTTGTCCACATTAACTTAAATAAAAGCCTAGAGGCAGAAACAATGACCAACTTGCTTTTTATGTACATGAGCAAATATTCATCTTTTGGATGCTTCTGGTTACCACTCTCAATATTTCAATGCTTAAAAAAGAGTCAAAATAAAATCTTTTGTTAGAAAAGGGCAAACAAATAAATACTCTAAAAAGAACATCTGACAAGTCAGTGGAAAACTCTTCAAGGAGGGAAGGATATAGTAGATGCTCCTGAGGTGTGAAACTATTCTAAAAATAGGAATGATCCTAAAAGAAAGGTTTCTCAGAAACTTCTTAAAAGATACCAGCACAGCCTGACTCTGCTCTGAAGCTCTGGAAATCAGCTTCTGCCCAGCCAGTGGTTTCCACCTGTCCAGTCATTTCAGGATTTTGAGTTCTGAGGTTGGGCAAGGAAGTCTTTCTCACAGCCCAGTGGGTGCAGATGGGAGGCATCCATGTCGGCACCAGCTCTGCAGGTCTGCAGAAAGAGCTTTGAGGTGTAAGAAGTGTCTGTGTTTCAGATTCCCAATGGGTGTGAAACCTTGCTGAGCATACAATGCCTGCCACTGTACCCTACCAGGGGCTGGGAGCCTGGGATGGATAGAGCCCAACTTTGTGGTTATGAAGGGCTTTATACACCAGCGAGCCAAAACTCTAGATGAACCTGTTTATCTTGTTGCCAGAAAGGGCACTTTGTCCAGGGAATTAATTCAGAAGTGAAAGGCATCACATGGGAGTTCAGCTGGTTAGGCCTAACCTGGCTTGTCCTTCTCCTTCCTGAAACCTCTAACCCGGCTAAAACACTGAAAAGAAAAATTATATTTCATTAACTTAATTCCTGGAGACCCTCAAATCTATCTGCTTAAGACAGGAACATGCAAACACCCAAAACAAAAAACACGTTTTGGGAATGCTAAGCTCTCCTCCAGAGGATGACTCATGTAAAAGACCATGGCTAGGCTTTCCTACCTCTTCTCTGAGTCCTGTGATGCTCTAGTAAATTCGAGTGGGAAGGACTAAGACAGCCATCAGAGGCAGTAAGCCAAGGGTGTGTGTTTAAGAGTCAGAGGCTTTATGGTGATAGGAAGGTAGGAGAAGGAAAACAGTGTAGGAGAGAAGAAAGAAAGGAATATATGTGGCAAAAAGGAGAGAAAAAAAGATCAGTGCAGTGTGTTGCAATGGAATGGTTTGGGG